ATCCAGGCACAACTTCCCCCTGTTCAGAACACTGTTTATTATGGCAGAACTAATAGTCATTTCCCCCTTAATTCTCATAGAAATCATTGACAGGCCCTTTACTTGCACCTATGGACTCCACTTGTGGGTCTTGTCAATGGCTATCTCAGTTAACTTCAGAATTGGCATAATTTCAACTTGAACAATTTCGCTTTTTTAATGGGCCTGTTGCAATTTCGTGGCCCATGAACTGCCTGTAAGCAGTTCATCTGCGAAATAAACAAGAAGCCTATTTTCGCCAGCGAATTGGCCTAAGGGCCTATAATCTGGTTGGTTTATGGGGGCGGAACCTTGTATTATCACAAATATGCAGTGTTCAGGAACTCCTACTCCAACTGAAGCCCTTGTGAATAGCAACTGAACGTATTTAGAAACCATGTTCAACTATTCCGCATAATCTGCACCTATGTGTTTTGACATCAAAAGATATAGTTATGAAAAACAGAAGTACTCATTAAGCCCAGAACCATGTCCAGGACCGATTCCAGCAGAAACCAACATAAAAATATACCGAAACCAGAGCAGAGAATGAAAAAGAATAAACACCTATTAGAGAACACATGCCCAGCTGATTCATCATTCACCAGATATTCGGCATATCAAACATCTATTTACAATTGATTAAATACAGATTTAATTCGATTAAATACAGATTTAATTCGATTTAATACGAGATAAATGCAGAAGTAATCAAAGAACCAAAACCCAAAAAGAAAAAACGCAAAGCTACATAAGCAACCGCATGAAAAATGAAATGCATTCTCATAAACCATAAATTTGCAAAACTGTGTAAGAAATTAAAACAACTCCTCCAAAAAACACAATTGTTCAGCCTCATACCTAGGTTACAGTCTGCGGGGTTGAGCACCACACATTGTTTTGTGGTTCTTTTCTGGGGCTCAGAGTCAGTAGAATGCCTAAGTCTTTTGCCGTCTGGTTCCTCTACTAGTGGAGCCGTATGCTTGATCCCCGCCATTAAAATTAACTCTGAGAAACCTAAGAATTTTACGTAGAGCTCCTCTACGCTCAAAGCTGAGCACCCAAAGAGTGTAAGAGGCAGTTTATATACCAAACTTCTTCTTGAATCTTAATCAGGTATTGGTTCCCTTTCG